CTCCGACGGCGGACATATTAGTAGCCGCTTGTTTGGCGTGGTTCATGAGTCCCCTTGCGTACTCGCCGGCGTCGATGCCTTTCCTGGCCCAGCTACTGACGCCGTCCGCCACGCCGACAGTCTGGGCGTCATGGGAGACGAAGTGCGCGTCTTCGCCGAGGGGCTTTTCTGGGTTGTATTTGGGGAAATAGGACGACCCACAAACCAATTTCATTTCATTACAGATCTTCCTCCTCTTTGGTATTAATTCTGGAAGTTGATTCAACTTCCTTTTCCTCCCCAATTCATAATCTTGATCGACATTGCCAAAGCCAGAGCCAAGGGCACAGAAATTATTGATTGATGGGATGTTATTATTTTTGAAATTGATCGGGCCATAACCAAAGGCAGGGTTATTGTTGGCGATCATCATCGTTGCTTTGCTTCAATTCGCGAGAGCGAGAGCGAGAGGAGCAAGACAGAATGACAGTAATGAAATGAGAGAGTGAAGAAAGTGAAAGAGACCTTATCTCTGATGACTTTCCAAATCAGATTAGGAATCCTGATTTGACCAAAGTTGACCTGTTTTACAGCTGTATAAATTTCAAATTTTTTCCTCAACCATAACCTAATAAAATTAACAAAATAATAATAATTTCTGTACTTTTCTCCTAAAATGGGCCCATACCATACATTTTCTAGTGCTAGTATGGACGCCATGTGTACGCCAAGTGGACAAAAATATATTTAAAAATAAAAAATGTAAGATAAGCCAAAATAAATAAATAAACAACTGAAGTAACAAACAACAACTTACCTTTACCATCTCATGGCATCCACGTCAACCAAAATGTGGGCACCACATTTTCCATATCATTAGTTAATAAGAGCAAAGAAAATACACGTGGAAATTCAATTATTAATTTAATTCCTAAACAATGAATTATCAAAATATATAAATTTTTGGGAGTTTCACTAAAACACTCAAAATAGGGGTTGAAATTATAAAAAAACCCAAGCACTATTTAAACATATAAACACACCAAAAACCCATCATTACACACACTCAAAACCTGTTTATAAACACACCCAAAAAGTTGACTTTGGGGTTAATTTTGGGTGTGTTTCTATGTTTAAATAGTGCTTGGGTTTTTTTTATAAATACATGTCTAGAATTGGGTTTATTTATAAATTTGTATAAATTTTTTTCACAGCTCGGGAGGGATCTTGAATAATGTAATGTAGTACATTCCTTTTTTAAATTTATGGCATGTTTACTAATTTGTAATTGGATTATGAGGAGTTGGATTGAGGAGAATTAGATTCCAGATTCCTATTGAAGTTGTTTACTAAACAATATGGATTGAGGAGAGTTAGATTCTAGATTCCTATTGAAGTTGTTTACTATGGATTGAGGAGAGTTAGATTCTAGATTCTTATTGAAGTTGTTTACTAAACCATATGGAATTAGGGTAGGAGTGATACTAAGTACTAAAATGTCATCGTTGTTGGATTAAAGTAGATAACAAACTTGGGATTTTAAAAATTGTATGAGGATATAATGGGTAAAAAAGATGAATTCCTAATTAGTTAGTTCTCTAGGAATTAGAATACCACCTCTTTAAAAAACCTTAGCCCCTCATACCCTTCAGCCACACCAAGGATTGAGGAGAATTAGATTCCAGATTCCTATTAAAGTTGTTTACTAAACCTTATGGATTGAGGAAAGTTAGATTCTAGATTCCTATTAAAGTTGTTTACTAAACCATATGGAATTAGGATAGAAGTGGTACTAAGTACTAAAATGTCCTCGTTGTTGGGTTAAAGTAAATGACAAACTTGGGATTTTTAAAATTGTCTGAGGATATAATGGGTAAAAAAGATGAATTCCTAATTAGTTAGTTCTCCAGGAATTAGAATACCACCTCCTGAAAAAACCCCAGCTCCTCATACCCTTCAGCAGCACCAAGGAGGGGGAGGTGGTCTCTAACCCTCCTCCCTTACCCTCTATCTCCCTTATTTTTCCCTCACCACTTCCTCCTATCTCTTCCCTCACAGTCCCTCTTCCCTTTTCCTTCTCCATTTCCTCATATGCTAGGGATTGAAGTTTTAGTTTGTGATTAGGCTTTTTGCTGCCCAGATCCATGTGGATCTTGGTTTTGTTTTGTTTTATTTGTTTTATTTTTCTGTTTCTGGTTGCAGGCAGAGGCGGCGGTGCCCACGTTGGTGGGGTAATAGCGGTTGCTATGCTGATTTGTAGTTGATGTTGAAGCAGCCACCACAAAACACCATTATCGCTATAATTTAGTTGTCGCTTTTGGTCTACATACATATGGGTGGTTCCCGAGAGGATAAGTCTGTGTCGAAACTTCACTAGGTTATCTATTGTTGTTCGGAGATCTTCTTTAAAAGTCAAATCCTTGAACACAATGTCACTCATATTGTTAATATTATTGAATAAATGGCCTAGGCGGGCGCTAGGCAGTCTAGGCGATTGCTAGGCAGTCGCTAGGCGGGCGCTAGACGGTCTAGGCAGGCGCTAATGCCTAGAAAAAAAGTATTTAATTTTGGAATCTCCAAGGTCAGGGACGAGATGACGATGGCTGACGATAGCGCTATGAGAGAGAGAGAGAGAGAGAGAGAGAGAGAGAGAGAGAGAGAGAGATCACCGGTTATGTCTGAGCAAGAGAGAGGGGCTAGAAGACGGCTCGTGTTAGAGTTAGGGTTTGAGAAGGAAAATTGCATTTATATGCGATATTCAATTCATCAGCTAATTGTAATTATGTAAACTTTTGGATTTAAAAAAAATAAAGAATTGTATTAATTGTAATAACGTGGAAAGTACAACCTTAATTTCTAAACCTAATATAGCCTTCTCTTTTTCTTTTTGTATCTGTGCGTTCAAAACCGAAACCTAAGCTAGCTGGTGTAGTGAAGGAGCTAGAAGCCACAACTTGGGCGACAACAACAGTGATGTCGTCGATCTTGCCACCTGCGTGCTCCAGTCCAGCCTTCTGAGCCTCCATTTGAAAAGGGCTAACGCTGTACTTGTCCAACGAGTTAAACAGCGCCAGGTTGGCTATGGCGGAAGCCAACTCCTCACAATCCCGACCGCTTCCTCTATACGCCACAAGAACATCCTCAATCTCACTCGGAAACATGTTGTCCAACAACCCATCTGTCCCAAGCACTATGATGTCCCCCGGGACTGCCTCCATCACAAACTCTAGAGCCGCCTTGGGACAGTCGTAGCCGACGTAGTTCCCCAACTGGTACGGACAGTTAAACATGCGCTGCTGAGGTGGAGACTTGTACAAACACCTGCTGTCCCTGAACACCATGAAGCCGCTGTCCCCGACATTCACGGCGTGCAGTGCCCCACTCTCTTTGTTGAGGCTGAGGATGCAAGCTGTGGACGAGCCTTGTACTCCGGCGTTGTTTGCGTATGCTTGGTTCAACACATTTCTTGGATCGACCGCGGCGGCTGCGGCTTGGGTCATGTCCATGGCCGTTTGGTTGGCGTTGTTCATGAGTCCCCTTGCGTACACGCCCGCATCGACGCCTATCTTGGCCCAGCCGCCTACGCCATCTGCCACGCCGATGGTCCGGCCGTCGTGGCAGATGAAGTGGGCGTCTTCGCCGAGGGGCTTGTCTGGGTTGTCTTTCGGAAGATAGCAAGACCCACAGACCAGCTTCATCTTCTCATTATGAATCTTCCTCCTATTTTGTAATAGTAATTCTTGAATTTGATCAGACTTATTCACCTTCCTTTTTCTTCTCAATTCCTCATGTTCCGTTAGTATTTGTTGATATTGAGAGCCATAACCATAGCAAGTATTTGTGTTATTGCAGTTGGCGATCATCATCTTTCCTAAAACACAGCGATAGTAGTGAAGAGAGCAAGAGAGTGATGAGGATGAAGAGAGAGAGAGAGAGAGAGAGAGACCAAATAAGTATTTATAGGCTCTCATTCTTTCCCACTGGGATGCTGAATCCTAGTTTTAATGGGTTTTAAATCGCCGGACAGGTGTAGAAATTTCCAAGGTTGGTTTTCCTGTAACATGTGGGATTCATGTTGCAATAAAAAATAATTTCTGTCATCTCATCCTAAAATGGGCCCCTACTCTTTTAGAAATAAAACTTTCTTTAGAAAACTTTTTTTCCATTTTAAATGTACAAATCATTCCCTATGTGAATTTCGTAAACTAAATGTTAAGTGCACTATTGCTTTTTTTTTTTTGTTTTTTTTTTTTTCACAGTGCACTATTGCTTTTCCCTGTATAAAAAAAAAAAACATTATTCCAAGTGTAGCATTAATGTTGACTGAAGTCATATTTATATGTCCATTGTATCTCAAGTAAATGTAAATGTTGTAAATATGGTTTTTGCTTTAACGGAGGAGATGTAAATTTAATGATTGTGTTAGAATAACATCGAATTTATAATATATATGAAAATAAATTAAGTAGAACTTGCGACACGGTTTTAATTGTGTTAGAATAACATCGAACTTATAATTAATGATTGTTCGTACTGTATCAAAAAAGAAATTTTTTTTTCTGCAAAAATGTTTTTTTATTTAAATAGTTTGATTTGTGTGAAATATTGGAGTAAACTAAATACAATATGATAAAATTAACATTTACAACAAAGGCTATACATGTTATGATGATGATATGGAAGTAATGTGGTGTTACTATCAGAGATTGGTTTGGTGGTTTTGCAGTGGATAAAGGAACCATGATACAGTTGCCTAGTAAGAATAGGAAAACAAGTAATAAAATAACCTATTAATTTAATATAACTAAAACTTAGCCTTATTGGCTGATGCCCACTTAGATTAGGAAAGTCTAATAGATGCTCCTGCATCATCTTATGATCTACATCGTCTTTTTTTATTATTAGGAATGAAAAAATTTCGTTACCATGTTTCGAAATGTTGGGAAATAGTTTTCATGAAATACCTTTTATTATCATTTGGAATATATGACTGCCATGCCACTG